AAGATAAATTTGGTCATTTAAACGTTGTTATCAATTGTGCTGGAATCTCCTTCAATTGTAAAACATTTAGCTTCAATAAACAAAATGCAAATCATAAATCAACAGCAATGTTGTATTTGAAACGAGTTCTAGCAGTGAGGTTTTTATCATTCAATCCTAAATCCTAATCTTGAGATTTAACTTTTGTTTTAATTTATTTATTACACCTCAATATGTAAATTTTTCAGTTATTATAAAAGTTTTCTCCGTGTTGCAACATTCTGTAATACTTATTGTGTTCATTCATTTTTTCTATTAAGGTGAATGTTGTTGGAACACTCAATGTTATCCGGCATGCACTTGATTTAGTGACACAAAATGAAAAAGATGAATCGGGATGTCGAGGCGTTGTCATCAGTACGTCATCATTCTCATCGTTTGAGCCACAGTTCGGGCTAGTAGGTTTCTAAATTTGTGAGATGGTGATTAAGTTTTATTTGCGAAATCATTTATGATTAACATTAATTTTATTGAATCTAATTTAGCTTAGAGTAATTGTGTATTCTTTGTTACTGTACAAGTCGTTTTATCACCAAAGTGATAACTTATAGCAATATTTTAGGGGTTTGATGCGATGTCTTCTGGAGCTTTGAATAGTGCTACATTAGCTTTAGCAAAAGATCATGCTTCGGATGGTATTCGATTTGTCACCATTGCCCCAGGCATTTTCCGGACACCTTTGGTGATTTCCCATATGAATGAATTGGTACTTGATTCATGAATTTCCATACATCCATTTTGTTTTCTAATATGAATGAAATATTGAAAAATCATACGTTAATCTTGTAGAATGTGGAAATGTATGAGAAAATGGTGGAACTTCCTGCGCGATTAGGCATACCGGAAGAATTTGCTGCTCTCGTACTGCATGTTATCCAAAATAGGTATTTAAATGGCGTGGTTATTCGTTTGGATGGTGCTCTTAGGATGCGACCATAAACTTGTTCATCAGTTTCTTATTCAGTTTCAGGCTTTAGTACATTTGTGAATGTCGCTTGAATGGCGTGTATTGATTTTTTTTTTTGTCGTGAATGTTAACTGATTTTTTTGCATTTGATTTCCATTAATCGATAAAATTTGATTCAAAGTGTTGATCTACTATCAATTGTTTGTCGATCAAGATTTTATTATATTTGTAACACACATACGCGCTGTCAAATTTGAAAACTCAGAAGGAACTTCTTGTAGGGATTACAAAGTCATAATTGTCCAGCAATTAGCAAGTTTCTATGGATCATTATTTTCAATTTATTTTGAGTAATGGAAATAAATTCCCACCCTATTGATACAGATATTCGCTACGCGCCAAACTTTGTTTGTCCCTTTATTACGTGTAGCTGCGGAGCTGGGATATGGCGGACCGCCTATTTTGTCGTGAAATTTTGCTCGACTGCGGTCATACAGATTTTATATAGGATTTGGTCTGTTCAGTTGATAGTTGATGCTCTTTCATTATCTTGCTTGTTATTTGGCCGGGGAGAAATTTGCTTTGAGAGCGGCGAAAATAGGTACTTAGATTGGGAAATAGGTATAGAAAATATGTCAATTCCCGCGCAAATTAACGAAGTTAATGAGTTCTTTGAATACAGGTGAGTCAGATTTGTGATTTCAGTCAGTTCTAATTGTTCTTTTCAGCAATATATGCTTTTCTGATGAATTAATGGCTTTTATAATCCGTATGTTGAAGTCCTGAAGTGAAAAGTAGTGATTTCTGTGATCATATATGCTGCTTGTGGAGGATATAGTTCGTTGATATACTTTCTCAGACTTCTTAGTTTTCGAATTAAGAGTTAGGTCAGGTGAATAGCATGCAAACAGTGGAGTTGAAATATTGGTGTGTTTGGATGGAAACGTAATTTTTCTTATGGTTAAAGAAGTTTTATCATATGGCTAATCATAGGCTTGTGTCTCTATAAGCATTAGAATAATATTTGTTCACAAAGTCTTGATGTTTAGCTTTCAAATGACACTCAAGGTTTCTTTAAAATCAGCAGTTTAAAGTGAATTGTCATGTTTCAATTTAAATATATTTCGGCGGCGGTTTAAATTCCAATCATCTCAGAGGCCGAGGAATTTTTCTCGCCAGTGTTATGAAACGAACCTACTCTGTGGACAGTTAGGGCTGCAATTAAAATACTTGCAATGAATAGCGTATTTTGAAAGATGCATGATTTTGTCAAATTTCTTCCAATTTGCCAAACTGAACAATCGGCAGTTAACGTGACGAAGTAATGCGCATAGATCCTGTCGTTGTCTGGATTTTTCATTATAAAAATAATTTTGTTACAGGTGTGGTATAAATTATGGTCACATATTTGGCTTCTGTGAAGGTATGTCTTTGTGAAAATATATATGTATCATTTCTTATATATGTATCATTTCTCCAAATATTTTGATTTATTAGTTAGTGTAGTATTCGTTGCCGTTTTTCAGGGCATTGTGGCATTAGTCACCGGTGCTGCATCGGGTCTCGGAGCTGGTACGGCTCGACATCTTCTCGAACATGGAGCAAAAGTGGTCATTATGGATTTGCCACAATCAAAGGGTGAAGCACTGGCGAAAGAAATGGGACAAAATTGCTTATTTGCTGCGGCTGATGTGAAAATTTCAGTTTTTGACTTTTTCTATGATGAAACTGTTGAAATAAGAAAGCAGTGATAATTTGTAAATTAAATGAAATTCGGATTTTTGTCTGTTTGGCCGAACGTCAGCGTATCACTCAATTAGTCAGTAGATTAAAGAATGACAAAAGTGAGGGAAAGAGATGAAATACATGGTGAAATTGGGCACAATAAAAGTAAAAGCATTTGTTTTCGTCCAATATTTCAAATGAGGTTGAATATTCGATTTCCAGGTGCGGTCTTCAGCTGAAGTGTCGGGTGCATTCCATACTTTGATTGATAAATTTGGACAGTTGGATGCTGTTGTCAATTGTGCTGGTGTATCATATCCATTCAAGTTGTATAACTTGCAGAAAAAGAAAGCTTGTGATGCAGAACTGATTCGTCAAACATTCGATGTAATAACTTTTTTCTCTATTTAATCTTTACTCGATCATAACTTACGAAAAGGTTTTCAAGTCTTCCTTTTTTCTAATTGAATTGATACTAACATTTAAATATTAATCGGGAAAAATGAATTGGTTGTAAGGTTGCGGTAAGTGAAGTCTCTTAGCTGTTACATTATATCGATGTGTTTAGTTTTAGGTTAACGTTTTCGGCACTTTCAATGTTATACAGCAGGCGCTTGAAACATTTGCGCTTAAGAGCAAGGACAGCTTAGGTTTTCGTGGTGTTATTATCAATACGGCATCTATAGCAGCTTACGATGGACAAGTGGGACAGGTTAAACTTTCATTTGTATATCAAAAAAGTTTTATGGAAAAAAGACCATGAGTTGTAAAAACAGGTAGACGATGCAATATTTCGCATTTTCTCTGGTTTGAAAGCAGTGTCAGGAATTATGCTGTTTGTTTCGTTGTAGAGTGCTTATGCAGCTTCCAAGGGAGCCATTGTAAGTGCAACACTTGCGTTTGCTCGTGACTATGCGGAGGATGGAATACGGTTCATGACAGTTGCACCGGGACTTTTTGACACTCCGCTTATGAGTGGACTTCCTGAAAAGGTAACAATACACCATAAATTATTTTGATGAATAATAAATGAAATTTGTTTGTTTGTTATTTCGTAAACATTACTGATCACTACATTACAGGTACGAACTTTTCTAGCCGACATGATTCCACTCCCGAATAGGCTGGGTAGTCCGGAAGAATTTGGCGCCTTGGTGCGTCATATTATCGAGAATCGGTACTTGAACGGGGAAGTGATACGTCTTGACGGTGCCTTGCGGATGCCTCCCTAAGCCTGTAATATAACAGGTCGAACCTCATCTTCCAGTAATCGAAAGTAGTGAAAAGGAGTTCACAGCTTTAAGAACTGTTTTAAGATGAAAATATTGTGTAACTGACCGTTAAGTTATATGATCTTACTTTTTCAAGAATTTTGTTGTCTGTTATCCGGTGAGCAGCAACTTGTTCACTAACATTTATTTTACTAGTGAGTTTTTATAATGCTTTTGTTCATTTTGATTCCCATAAACGTTCTGCTTAGCGTTTGTTTGTTGTTCATTTGTTATGTTGGAATAAAGCTCTAAAATTTTTATTTTTGTTTTAGTTGTGATCAAAAGTTGTGCTTCTTTGCAAACAAGTATTTTTCATTTCAATGTTTAATCGCTGATATTATAAAAAGTGCACACAGCAGTATGTATCTAAAGCAGTAATTTTATTGTTGGTCATCTGGTGTGAGACAGTTGGATTTTAGAATGAGCAATTTAATTGCTCTTAGCGTAATAAAGCTTGGTTTAATCAAAATACTGAGTGTGTCGGAAGGTAAACCTTTTCACCTGTCTGGTTTTCGCTTATTTTTTAATGTGTGGATTTATTTAACGTGGCATGCTATATTTGTGTATATCTCATTGTACAAATATTTCCTTTTTTCTTTCCAGGTTGGGTGACATTTAGGATGTCGAATTTATCTTCAAGCTGGAAGACTACGCGTCGTTACGGTGAACCGCTAAAAAAAGATAAAGCAGCTGCACTTTTCGATTCTGTATTTGCCAATCAGCCAAAAGCATCTACTTCGCTGACAAGACCACTAGATTTCAATCCGTAAATACTTTCATATGCATTGATTTTTTCTTCTATAAGAGTCAAGTTTGAGACTTGGTAATCTTGATTTGGTTACATTCTGAGGTTTAATAACTCTAATAGAGAAGTAATAGCTAGTGATTTATCGATTGTTGGAGTTTTCGAATTTGCTGAGTTTGATTTATTGGGTTTTAAGCCACACCAGTATATAATGTATATAACGTTTTCTGGTAATCAAAGTACGCGCAAGATTTTCAAGCTCTTTTTCTTATATAGTTCATCGAAATGTGTATCTCCTAAACGGGATCAAGTTCATAGTGAGTTGAGTACACCAAGTCCATCAAGCAGCTTGTTTCTTTCACCGACAGTCAGCATTCCCGACTTCGAAAAGGTTTGTTTCTAAATTGTTTTTGTAATATCACAGCAGTGCTTTTTATTTTTTTTATAAGAACACAGACGTTTCGAATAGGAAATGAAAATTTTGAGTACAAAGTCGTGTATTAATACTGTCTTTTTTCGCATTGAAAAGGAAAATTAATTATCCAGTCCAGATATGCGGTGTACATCAGTAATTCTATTGTTTACTTTCAGAATATGCAAATAAATATGGACTTTAGTTGAAATTTGTTTTTCGAGCTCCAAGTTTAGTTTCCTGGCCACTTTAGTATTCTGTTGCTTGAATAGTACATTAAATATAGTTCCATTTTGCAGTCTGATGAAAGCGATGAAGAGGGCAGTAATAATAAGTTTCGAAATAATCATTCATCAACATACACGCCAAATATTTCCATGACGCATGCAACAATTTCTGGTAGTAAATCGTCCAATTCATCACCTGTCAATCAATCTCCTGAATCAGATGCAGATCGACAAAAAATTGGAATTCCCAAATATCATTCCACTGAATCGAAACCTCAACGTAATGATGTTTTTTGCTTCGAAGTAGAGGACGAGGAAGATGAGGACACTGAAGGTAGCAATGAATTGGCCCCTCAAGTAAAACGTGCGAGACCGGAAGAATGTACTAGTTCTCAAGGTGAGTTATTATTATGAATATTATGAAATAGTTATTATTATGAATATGTTAGAGTTATTATTATGAATATGTTATTATGAATATGTTGAATATGTAGTTTGTAATGTATAGATGTGTAAATTTTCATAAAAAAGTAAAATGTTCCGAACATTATTCTGTAACCGTACAGGTTAGACTTAAACATAATGATTAGCGGAATGATATGTGATATTGTATATTTTTTTACGTATTAAGTTTTTAAAATACATAAAACAATATGTTATAGAAAAAACGCTTATTTCAGAACGAGTAGGAAGTTCTGGAAAAGGGTATTCACTGGGAATTAAAGCTATATATAAACATAGGTGGATGTTGGATGACGATGATGATAATGACGATTTTGGGTTGCGTTCGAAACATTCAGATACCGATTTAATAAATTCTAAAACAGAAGTATTATTTGTTTTATAATTCGTTTGTAATGCTTCTGGGTTACGAAGCTATTGCTATTAACGTTCTCATTTTAAGAAGTTCTCGTTAACAAGAAATTGTAAGCAAATAATTTTTTCTTTGTTGCTTAAACATCTTAATGCTTAAATCACTGAATTATCAGGACGATGGTACGGCCACTGCAGCAAATGTAGGCACCATTAGTCCATCAGGTATAATGGATCATAATAGGAAGGGCGATCGAGCACATGTTTGGATTCGAGATGTTAAGGATGCACATGAATGCTTAAAGTCGGGTGAGCAGGATGATTTCAGTGACGATGTGAAATATATTTTGAGCACTCTTCTGGATCCTTCATCGTCGAACAATCTGAAATGTTTAAGGTAATCCCTTTGTATCCTCTGAGGTTAATCTCCTCTTAGCACTTCCAAACTAAATCCCAGTATTTTGTGGATTTGCATCTGATTTGTATCACAAACAGTCTAACATGGTTCATTATCTTTAGTTTATATTTCATTTTCCATTTCCACAATTTAGCGTCATATCACTGGCAAAGAAGTGTGTTTCGAGCGAATTCCGGCGATTTTTCCGATCTAACAATTTAATTAGTCGGACACTAAAAGCAATTCCCGATTCACCAAAGTCACCGGTAATTCAGTCATCCATCTCGATTTTCAGTAAATCTATCATTTTCCACATAAAGATTAGTTATTTAGTGTAACATATGTGAAACCACTTGTGGATGTCATTATTAGACTGAATTCTTATATTTCAGAGTTTGGCACTATGTGTCTCAGTGGTTGTTTATTTGTTGTCTCGCGACACCACCTCTGTATTCGTTGACGCATCTGCGCTCCGTTTGTTCAGTCAGCTATTAAAATTGGAAAATCCAAATCCGAATGAAGAATGCATGAGATATTCGAAAATGGTGGGCTCTTATAGTTCATAATTTAACTAATGTAGGCTTTATGAACCCTTTTTGTTATCGATGAGTGTTATTTTTAGACGGTCTTTTCTAGTCTGAGTATTTAATGCCTTCTCGCCTTTTCAATTCAAGCTGCTATCTTTACATCTTTTTTGATACGTAGATGAGAGTTTCAGGCGATGGATGTATTAAAAGAGTGGTTGGAAAAATCGTTTGCAAATACGGAATTAAAGAAAGTGCAATTTGATATTACGGAAAAAACCCTTTCGGTAAGATTGCTTAGTTATTCATTGCTTGCTATATATGAAGCTGTGAAAATTTATTATGTGTAACACATTTTAATATTATTTCAGCCTTCGTTTCTCATTTTGGAATCACTTGTTTACATAAGTGCACGTAAGCATCGTGAACAATCATTGCAAAGTGAACTGTTGAACGTGGGCATACTTCAGTGGATCGTTTCTAAAAGTACTGCTACAAATAAGTTTGCTCCGCATTTACTGCATTTTGCATTTATTGAGTTAATGGATTACATATTTGAATATGATTAAAATTCTTGTGGTTTATAAGATGCTAGACTCTCAGCTTTTTTTCAGAAAAGTATTTGAATATGATAACAGATTGATTTGTCCAGTGACTGTGATAACTTTGTAATCTGCTTTCTTCTAACTTCATTTTTTATGTAATTGCAGTGGACAAAACAGTATTGCGCTTGTTGCACGAAAAAATATCAAATGAAGAAATGCTTCTTTGCTTGAAAGTTCTTGAGCGATGCTTCAGAGTACTTGAATCGGTGCGTTTTATTTTCATGGGTTTATTAACCTTTATTTTTGTGTTTAACCTTTATAGCAGTTATGTATTAAGCAGTGAAATGATTTTTGTCATTTAAACAGTTTGCTGAATTTGAAATAACATATTTGTTTTGAAGGCAACAGTCTGCAATGAGAAGAACGGAGCATATCTGATTAGCCATCGAGGGAGCGCCCTCATCCAATCATGCGGAAGGTATTTATGAAATCAAAAGTTTTTAAGGATGGGATTGAAAATTTTTTTAAGTGGTAAGAAAAGAAGTGCATTGGTATATATAAATTATATGAGGAACTAACTATTGTTAGATTTTGGACGTAAGCATCGTAATTCTGATCTCTTTTCCCTAGGACGATACAGAACTTTAAGAATCGAATCAATAGGAATTATGAAAAGTGTTGGAGTGTAAGGGATTATTAGAAAAAGCGACATTATAATATAATTCCGTTTTCCGTAACCGTTTCATCAACTGGATATATCTTTTGTGAAGATTGTTGCGGTATGGTTTTCTAGGCTGATGTCTTTGTTGTTTCGCACTGTAGGACAACTTGGTGATGATACCAGTGAATTAAAGGAGCAAAATATCACATGTCTGAATCGAATGGTTGGGTTATTGATGAGTTTATCATATGAGAATGGTATGTTGATTTCTACAGTTTTCTTTTCTGTTTACTATATTGTAATCAGCTTTATCCTGGTTTCTGTTTTGAAATCACTGGATTAATGTTACAGAATTGTGCTGCACGAAACTCGGTCAGATGAATGATTTCCTCTCACTCTGCGTATCCTCCTTTACCTATTTGGTGCCAAAATATGTTCGTAAGGAGAAGCAATTTGATCTTATTGTGTTGGTTAGCTTTTTTGAGTGCTCGTTTTATTTTACTACCTGCTTCTATTCCCATTTCTGAGAACTAAAAATCTCCACTTCTTTTTGCAGCTGTGCAGTCTTTTGGTCAATTTGCTTGAACGTTGTAATTTCAACAGACGTAAGCTGATTGGGCTTACGATCCCAGTTTATGATCTCGAAAGTAAAGCAGAGAGGCAAGAACCAACATTGAAAGCCTTTAGTCAGGTTATTTTTGTTAAACTCTGTAGTTTTTCATAAACATTTTCTTAAATAGAATTTCGTCACAAATTTCCATTTGATGAAGAAAGAAGTTTGTTGCAGTTTTTGCACATTGCTTAATTTGAAAATAACGAGGTGAATATCTGTATTCAGTTTTTTATAACACTGAACAATGTTTAGCTATTTGTATGTCACGAATCAATGGCTCGTTCTATCGATGAGGAACTGGATAATGATCTTGTAATTGAGGATACTCCGGATGATAGTATTAATCATGAAGAGGAAGCAGAAGGTGTTTTTTTATTTGTAGATGAAAATATGCTTTGTTCTCTTTAAAAATCCTGCCCTATTCTTAATAAGTTGAAATTGTTGTAAGTCATTTAGCAGTCGAGATTTTAATATTTCAGATGACGGTCGGTTGCATCGATTGCCAACGGAATTATCTGAGGATGAGATGGTTGAAGCTGTACAAAATGCCATGAATAAGGCTAGCTCACATATGGAAGATTCAGTTTTGGCATCGTACTTCGCACTTTTGATTGGATGTTTATTATTGCAAAATGAGGTTTGTCTTTTACTAGATTTTTCCTTTTTTTTGTACGATTTCTTTAATATTAATAGTCTTATCTGTCTTGCAGGAATCAGTAAATGTAGTGAAAGCAGAAATGAAGAATGGAAAGTTGGTTGCACTAATTGAGCAGCTTCAGCGCTTTCTGGAGTTTATCAAATTAACGGTCTGTTCATAACTAGTTTATTTCATTGTTGCACTCATCCAGTGTTTTCAACTTTTGGAAGAATTATATCTTTCATATCTTAAATCCTTAAAGTTTTTTTTATCATATTATAGTTATCATATTATATTTTATCATATTATATTTTTAGCAGTTATTGATGTTAACAAATTTACTTTAGAATGGGAAGAAAGCACACGTTCGCTTTATGGAACGCATTATTGACTTACTCGATACATTGGATAATTAGTATTTATCAGTCCGTTTAATGAAAGGTTTTGCAAGTGAGCTATTACTTGTGACCATTTGAATTGTCTTTCACATTTATCGGTTATTTCTGTCCAGATTTAGATCGTGGTTATCTTTTTAAGTATCATGAGATATGTAGCATGGAAATGTATTCTTGAACAAGATATTTTTAGGTGCTTGCAACTTTCGTTTTATTTTTAATACGAAAAATTTGGTAAAGTAAATGGCCTCACAGTCGTGAAAAATTAAAAATTAAACCAATGTAGTTTTTTTGTACTGCACCTGCTCCCGTGACCTACTTTTTAATAGTTGACCATCTCACATCAGCTTTGTGTATTACCCTTCTGGCATAATTTTGGGACCTAAGCTCCATTTTACATTCACTCTGCTGTGATTTGTGCTTCAGAATAGCAAAAAATTATTTTTGCTACATCGGCAGTTGATGATTAGCAGAAAAGTCATCCCTGAAATAATGGGCCATAAAATCTAGTTTTGAATTTTTTATTTGTTTTCTCGAAGTCATCTCAGTGTTGTCATCTTCAGTTTTCATAGCCTTTCAGGAAAACAGACCATTTTTTCCTTAATAATTTAAAATACATAGTAACTTGGAATGCCTTGACTTTCCTCCCAATCAAAGTATCTGGAAAGTATTTTCATAATGAGTCCAGTCGTCGTGTCTGCTCGGTTACACTTTTTTTTGTCTATTAAAATTATTTTACAAATACTCGTTCGCATTTATATATCTTACTCCTTCACACAATCTGCAAGGAAAATCTGTCTGTAAGAGCTCTTATTTAACTGATTACTTTACACTTATAGGAGTAACTATTTCTATACCAGAAAAACTTATCAATAAAAATATCGCTTTAATTATCAGCTCCTAAATACGAATTTCAACCATTCTTTTGAACATAGCTGCATCGGGATAAACGCCATTACTGTCCCGGAAATAACTGTTTCAGCTTGTCATCACACGTAACCATTATTTCAACTTATCGATTTGCAAATCTCATAACATTGTCATTCCACCCTTTTAAAGTACGAAACAATATCATATGGAAAATTCTTGAAATAAATTGCTTCATTTCCAAAAGCCAAATTAATAGAAACAGTTACAGTGTTGACACCATTCTGCATTTGATACGAGATAGTGTAATACAAGATACAAGATATACTGCAAGCCTTAAATTTCGCTGCAGATAAAAACTCCATACGATTGAAAAAAGCATACATGAAATTAACTGTAATCCAGACCTAAAGTGAAATTTATTAAGTACAAATACAAACTCAATATGTCCGATTAAAATTTACAGCAGTAACATTTTATAATGCATCAAATGAAAGGCAACTTGATATTAGCTCAAGTATATCACAACTTTTTTAAATGCACCGGCTTTGAGTAATCGCAAAAAAACCCACATTTTACGCCGAGAATTTGTTGGTCATGATTTAAATACTGAAAAGTAGAGAATGAAATAGTAAAGCTCTGTAATCACTAAGCAAAAGGAATAACTTGCAAAGAAAGGATGAGCTTGGAGAGATATTCTTTAACAAATAAAGATAGAATTTGGTACTTTTCGTCAAAGCAAACAATGAGTGAGAAGAAAAGTTGGCAGAGATAGAAATGGCATTCTATCAGAAAGTCGATGTTTGATAATGCATTTAAATTTCAGTGACTTTCCTAACTCACAGGAACTTTGAAGTACAAAACTATTTCCTCTTTTCCTCAGTACCTAAATAAAATTAGCTTTAGAAAGTTGATTTTGGAGCCATTTCGGGATTGGCAAATCATTACGCAACAACAGCCTATGTAGGGCAATATTGTCATCTCTAAAAATACGATCTAGTTTCTCTCTAAGTTTTTCATCGAGAGGTTCATATCTGCGTCCTTTACTTGTACCTAGACATTTCTTCGTCCCTGAAAAAAAGCAGCTTTTGCGCGACAACTCTGTTCTAACAGTATCTTAAAATTTTTTAAATACCAGAAAATTTAAAAGCATCAATTAATTCGTACCGTTAATATAACTGCAAAAGAATCCCTTCCTGTCGTCAAATTTAATGAGATCACTGAAGGCAAATTTTGGTGCATGAAGAGCATCAACTAAATTGGTAACAGCAGCCACTGGATCTGTACGAAGCTGTTCACCGTCAACTAAATGAATTTGCGTCGATGGATAATAATCCAACCAATGTTCCAAATGATGTGTATACCTGAAATTACAAATCCAAAATATTGGATCCTGTTTTCATTCATGTGAAAAATTAAGATGTCAAGGAAAATATGTGTCACTTTACATAGTTCTACAAATTTTCAATTTTTATCAACCCAATTCAGAATAGAAATTGATGAAAATTTCAATACAAGTGAATACCTTCCAGGTGAAATACAGCGATTTTTGAGACGTCGTAAAAGAACCGACGAAATATTAGCATCGAGAATTTCATTTAGTTCATATGTCATTGCTGTTGTATCATTATGTGCACGCATGTGCTGATACCAGGAATATGCACGCATTGCCGGATCCAAAAGAATAATCTGAAGAATAAATAAATAACGATGTTTTGATAGAATAACATTAATTTGACCTAACTGCGAAGATTAAAAAATGAATATCAAGATCGACTGCTAACTGCCTAAATGCAAAAAATGATCATTAATAACATACAACAATTTCTGCTTTTGGAAGCAATGCAGCGGATGTACGCGGAGCATTTGGGTTATCGAAGTAAGTTGCACTTTTCTCGAAAACAATAAGATGATCAATTTTGGATCGAAACTGATCCATATACCTGTAACAGTACTGCTTATGTTACTGAGAATCACCTAACAGATGGTCATTCACTAACAAAAAGAAATGTATACACTTGCCAATGCAATCCACGAGCATAATTTGGTCCTCCAAAAAACTGTAACTCCTCAAATGATGATGGGACCGGATCGTTACTAGAAAAATTTGGATGCAAGTTAAGAAATGTAGCAAGAGCAGTTGAACCAGTTTTCTGTGGTCCCACAATAAGCATATTTGGAAGCGGCATCTCAGAACAGTTGAAAGCTTGTGGAAGGATTTTTGCATGTCGCGGATCATCACACGGATTCTGAAAAGTTCTTATAAGCTACTCCAAAATTTTAGTTTCTAAGAAAGGACAGATCTAAAAAAACCCGAAAAAGAAAAGGTGATGGCAACAAAACACACATGCCCAAAAAAAAGGGGAAACCCACCAAATGTAAAATAAAATTAAAATGGAAAAGATCAGTGAGTATTTCTATTAATGCGGTTATATTTTTTTCAATTTACTAGCTTCGTAATTCCATAAACGTCAATTAGTTCCAAAAATGTAAACTCACGCTCCAAATAGGGACTTTTTCAGCCGCGTAACGTGCAAAGTAAGCAGACGCAATCCGCACAGGTTCTACCCAACGCAAATGCAAATTCGTCCAACATTTAATAAAATTTACCACTCGTTCAAAGGAAAAAATTCCGAGACGATCGTTCGCGTAGTTTTGCTGATGTGTCATAAAGATCGAAAACTAAAATTTTAAATCTTATTCTTAGAATTCTTCCCTGGCCTTCCTAGAACTATTGATCGGAAACATGTCTCTTCATTAAAAACTACTTCTAACCGAAAAATAAAGATTCTATTTCAAGCAACCAGTAAAGAATTCTTACAGAGGAATACCAATAAAACATCAATACTAATACTCACCGGATTAATCACTATAGTGAAGAATAGATCACCACCTTCAATATTACTAAGTAATTTAGTGAAACCATCAGGATATGAATGAAAGAATTGTGTGTGAGTGTAAAGACCACAAGTTTGTCGTGGAAGCACCTAAACATAATTCTTTTCAATGTCAAACTACAAAAAAGTTAAGATCAGAGGCACAATCTGTTTCACAATTTTTAAAAATTAAATAAAACAGTGATAAATGTGAAAGTGTTTGTGCTTTATTCATGGAATAAATACCAAATGAATCAATGAAGAGATAGTTACGATTCAGCCATTACTGCGCAATGATTAATTTTAACTCGAAAAATTACTGAGATATTCCTATGTACAAAGCCTCGGCGTGCTGATGCTGGTCGAAAATGGGGATATTCCTCTGTTGATGTTACTGTAATATTCCAGATTAACTGCCACGAACTATACAATGCTTCATGAACCGGATAAACTCCAGCATGTTGTGGTGATACAGCGTAACCCGAATTAACATGCAAACCCATACTCTAAAAAATTAAATCCTCGATGTTAACAAAGAATTAGATTCTACAAATATTTTTTAAAGTATTTAAGAGTTTTCCAGATGTTTAACAAATTTATTAAGAAAAACAATGGGTTATTAAATCAAAAAGCAAACCTGCGCAAAAAGTTTATTTTGAGTCATAATAGCTTTTAAATATGTTTGATTATGCTCATGTGCATGGTTGTGTTTCCACATGTGAGGGAACCAAAAAAAGTGTTTGCCAATTTCTGAAAAGTACGTTACACATTGTATATCATATTTGAATGACTTTGAAGTTGAACTCTTAAAACCGTACCGACTAGCCTTTCATCACCTTCGTCTTCAAGGGAATCACCATTTCGAAAATAGTAACCAGAAAAACCCAAAGAATAAGTGAAATTTGTTATATCTTGACGCAAACGATACTGTGATTGTAATAAAGCATCCACATCTGCCTTAATCATGCGCGTTCCACTTGTACCAACAAATATGTCATCAATGTCGATTTGAATATATCGTTCCAAGTCATCATAAATCAAAGATTCTCGCATATACCTATGAAAAAAACAAAAAAACGTGTGCAGCAAATATGATTCTATCTCTTCCATCCACACAAATTATAAATTTCAATTTCAAATTGCAAAATACATTAGAAAAAAATCTAAACCTTAAAGAATCAAGAAAAGCTAGTTTGTTGATCCAGTGGGTGAAATTATGTCCAAATAAAATCCTTTCAATTCCATCTTCCGACCCGTCGTCTAATATTACACTAGCACGTTCATTACCAAAAATATCATCAACCAGCACAACACCTTCGTAGCCTGAAAAAATGATGCGATTTCATTTCATCTTACAAAACGAAATTCTATGTAAATCTTCGAAATTCAATTTTTCACTATTTGATTAGAAGCTATGATAGTTTGCAGTTCAATTTTAGATTTTTGAAATATTTAAAAAGATGAATTTAGGTATTTACATTATTTACCATTGGTGACGTCAAATAATATCCAATCATCTTTATCCGGTTCTGGTGCTTGTAACACAGCACCCGGCTTACTAATAAAATTCACACGTGACCGCTCACTAAAGCGAAGATTTGTAGCACGTTGTTGGGTATGAATTGTCAACTGTGAACCCTTCACTTTTGCATTAATATAGCTGTTTGGTCGATTACCAATGAATGAAATTATACCGACGCCATATTCACGACAATATTTATCAAGAAGCTGTCGATTCCACGTCAGTAAATTTAAATATTTGTAATAATTTTCAATAATAATAATCGAGAAACGTCCACGTTTTGCGGTCGTTAGAAGTGGAAGATTTTTTGTGAGCGTTTCAACTTTACGAGGTACCTTCAACGCATCTAATACGCTAATTATTTGCTTCCCAAGTTTCGAATATAACGTTTCTACGAATACCAACACCTTTCCATCCGTTACAAAATTAGTCTTATTTCTTACGAATCCATGATGCTTATGAATTTTAACCGTTTTATTTGGCAGCGGACAATGATATGATGGTATATGTTGTGCTGGATATCTGCAAAAATAATATCAGCATAATATAGCGAACCTGCAACATTTGTAATCACATAAATACACAAACACAACAATTCAAGCATTAAGTTTTGCGAATAAAGGAAATAATGAAATGGCCGATTTAATGGATGATTTACTTAAATGTAATTAATCAACAAATATCTGGATTTTCAGCATTTTAATTTCTTTCGAAAAAAAAAGTGATTGAGTCATAATCATTAATTTTTCATTAATATTTGTATAAGAAATAAAACTCAAAACCTGTACTGTCGTTTTTCGGTAATATCAACAAGATGGGTGAAAAGAAAGATGAATGATAAACAAGTGATTATGATCGTTAGTTTTAGCCAAAAAATAATTCGCCGAGTTGGCAATGTCAACATTTCCCAAATTCACCTTTCCCTCAACCCATGTCAACTGATTGATGTTGCAAGGGAAGATTTGTAAGTATCGCCTGAAATACACAAAATTAACAAGATTAACAATATATAAATCTCTGAATCCCACATTCTTCATGTCAATAAACTGCTAAAAGGCCCACTAAATGGTACCACACAATCCAAATTTCGTTCCGCAACATTCTCCGATTTGCCCGTGCCGTAAATTTTTATTAGAATACCTGTTGTGCGTCAATTGCGTGGCGAAGTTTGCTAGGATTGTTTCCGAAAATTTGTCGGTTAAGCGCTTCCGCTTTTTGTTTCCGTAATCATTTATTTAGAAATTAAATGAGTGTCACCTGTTTAGGATCACAGAAAATCCGACAGTTTTGGGAAATTTTGAAAAGTCAGTTTTTATAAAAATTATTGGCAATATTAATGATATAACAAATTTCATAGTAATATTTATGTAGTGTTTTAGAGTTGAGGGCGAATTCCAAAGTTCATGGGTTTGGTAGGTAATGATCTTTGTCATAGTACTATGTGATATATGTGCTATATTTCTCAATTCTTCTGTAATTAGCCCTACTATCTATGATGATATTACTTTAGATAATGTGTTATTTTATCTTTCAATCTTAATTATTTGCTAGACATACGCATACAGCATAATTTTCGTAAGTCGGAGTTACAACTCATTTCTCTTTGACATTATCGGATTCAAGACATAATGTCATGTGATTTAATTTGCTCAAATCAAATAGGAAGTTTCGTCTTGTATATTTGATCGGTTTGGAAGTGTCATTGTTATTTCTGTGCATCTTCCTTTGTGTTTTCAGATAAATTAGTTTTTTTTACAGGAATTTTACATCCTACTTTGGTTGAAGATGATGATTGATGTTAAAATGATTAATTTGTTGTGTGTAATATCGTTTACATTAAATCCTCTATGTCATCAGTACATGCTACGGAAGAATTAAAAATGGAACTCAGTCTTCGAAGTTTCTTTCGAGACTTTAACGCTCCGTAGGTTTTCTCTTTGGTAGTTATTACTATTTAACAAATTTTGAGAAAATAAGTTTTTTTTTTTTGTTTTTATATTTTTTGTGCTATATCCGTTTCCTGATTTACTTAAATATGGCAGTAGTTTTTTATCCCGAATTGTAATCATGGAACATTTTAGAAATTAAATGTATCATAACATTATTGATTAAATTCCAGTCATAAATACTAAACTATTAAATTTTATAGGAAGTTCGTCCTTTACAATTGTTTATTATGCTTCTTTATACTTCTTCCATTACGTTTTGATGGTACTATCGAGCTTAATTATGCGCTTGTCTTTTTACCGTTATGGATTTGCGAATTCATAGTTTTTCTTGGAGCTGTTGTTGCAGCAATATCCTTCACAATATCTCCTCCATCTTTGTAAGTTCTGACGCTTTGATTTCATATTAAAATTTAGCTAATTATATAGCACTTCTTAATACAGGTTTATCTCCCTAATCTATGCTTTGCAGGAATTTTATGGTTAAATTTGATAAATTTTTGATAAATGAATTAAATTTTTTAAAATATGAGTCAAAAATATTGCAGGACAGAGAGCTCACTCCGTTCGGATTTTTATGGAATGATACTATGTACTGGAGAACACGGGTTACTGACACTGTTTGGAGTGTTATGTTGTCATAAACTGCAAACAAATGCAACAATAGACGAGTTACCTTGGTTGCTCGTTTTCGTTCCCATCTTTGCTTTAAGTTTATTCTCTGTAGTTGTAGCTGTATGGGCAATCAGGAACGATAAATCGTTCGAGGTTGTTGTTTTGCATTACAGAATTTAAAAATAACATGGCTTGCTTTTGCAAGCTCGGAAACGTAGTGGTTTTTTCATTCTCGATTTAATGCATAGTCACTAATTACAGTTGGAGCTTTTCTTTTCTATCAACATTGTGCAATTTGTTTTTATCGCCTTCAAACTGGATGGTATATTAGATTGGCATTGGACAATCGTTTTCATCCCGCTATGGGTAGTCTTGTCCTTGAGTGTTGTTGGAGTAAGTTTATTTTGTTGCTTTAGGAAATATTTCACTGAAGAATGCTGATTTATTTATCATCGTAAACATACACCTTTGCTGAAAGAATTTGAAGAAATGCTGTTCAAATTTGATTTAACGTTATTTCCTTCTCATATTACAGGTGCTTTATGCGTTTGTTCTGGCAGTTGTATTGGCACGATCAGTTCATATGCTAGCTTCCCAGAGAAGACAACATCTCTACTCTGCTTTGTGTCATACTTTGCTTGTTATACCAATTCTTGTATTTCTTCTGCTTCTAACTGGTATGTATATCGCTCGCATTTACGAGATTTTCTTTCGGATTGATACGACTTTTCCTTTAGTCTGCGCTCTTCCGGTTTTCGACAGTGTCGATCTTAGAATTTACAATGGAACATTCGATCGCTGTTTATCTGAAACAAAATTAAGGAGTGATATGCAATAAACTGTTGAATATTGTCATTTTTAATTTAGGTAAGTTGGACGCAGTATCATGGTCTGACGATGAACCAATCAGCCAAATTGCTTTTGTCATTGTATGTGCTCCATTAGATTTGGCATTACTTTGTTTGGTTTTAATGTCGTTTGGCGCACGTGGAGGTAATCCATGGTGGTTTGCGATGCGTGCACCATTTTGCGCATTTCTTCTTGATACTTGTCCATGCTTAAAACAGTATGCTAATATCAGCTACAAGTTCCATTCATCATCTGAACGTCAAAATACAACCGAAGACTTCGAAAAACAGAGCTTACAGTCGGATCGTTCAATCAAATTTCCATTGCGTCCAGTTATACCATTTCGCTCAATCGAAAGTCCTGATTAGTAAAGGATTCTGTTTAATATAAATTACGCTTGAAAATCCAAATACACTAGTGTTGTATTTTTATTGAAAACTCCGTTGTGAAAGAAGTACACATTGGAAACTTAAGAGCGAATTAGGATTAGGGGAATATTGCCTCTCTCATTTTCCTTTAAGGAATTTTTTTATGTTTCTATTTCTTCTTTGACCCTGGCTAAGCTTTTGACAATTCGAAGAAATAGTTTTTATTATGTATATTTTAAATTTGAAGTATGAAATATAGGTCAAGCACATATTCAATATGTTAATATGTAATTATGGTATAGTTCTTTCCGCAGTGTCTTTTATTTGATCTCATAATTCTGTTATAGCTTATATGTAAAACATTTTATGCGAAGTAGAATCCAGTGCTGTGATCCTCGATACCTGTTATATTGAGGTTGATATTGAAATTAACATTTTTTATCATTCCCCTGTGATTTGTAACCCTGTACAGATATGTTGATAATTTTGTTTCCAGAACAACGGAGTTATAGTTGCCTTTGTTCAGAATGTTTTTTTTTAATATACAGATTGGATATAAAGCTTTCTCTCTATTATTTCTCTTATTGCGCATTAATCAATTTTTCAAGGTGCACTTTTCCTTCACAAATAAATATTCAGTAGTGAGCGATATGATACAATACTTGCAAGTTGGTAATGCATGCATTTATGTTTTCTTTAAGTTGCTTTAAATTTGCATAATCTTGTAAATATTCTTCAGTTGGAATGCTTGCGACATATGCTAATTGTGCTTATTTTTAAGATGGAGGACAAACAAATTCATACTACAGTTAACCAATATATGACAGAAATATTTCATAAATTAATCTCGTGTTTGTAGAAATATGTGGAATGCTCAGAAATCAATATGAGAAATTGCTACGATGTGTTAGGTTGTTCATCAACAGATTCGTACAGCGAACTGAAGAAAGCTTATTTCTCTAAGCTACGCATAAATCATCCAGATAAGGGTGGTTCCAGCTCAGAGTTATTTTTGGTGACGAAGGCTTGGTCCGTCTTAAAGTTAGTCTTGTAATTTATTAGATTTCATTAAATAGATTGGGAAAAAAGGATAAACTAAGCGTGAATGTTTGTGTAATAATTCTCCCTTGTTATATAAATTTTATGGATTGTGAATATTCTAATGCACGTCTTTTGCAGGAACGAGAATACTCGTCGAAGCTATAATAATTGGTTAAGAGAACAGTTATTACGCGAGAATCGAGCTATTGTTGGACAACAAATCGTTATCAATAATACTGTTGAGCGAGTTGAAAAATTTTGCAGGTGATCGTTTCAAATGCTTTTTTCTTGCTTGGTTGAAATGAGCAGAAATAATTCGTACTGCTCTATACTGCTCTATCTTAACTACTACTTCGGCCTTTCGCAGATTTCAGATACTTTCCGAAATTTTTTCTCTTGAAATTTCGGTTGTACAAGTTGTGTTTTATTAGATGAGTTTCAATACTGGGTGTATTGTGGACGATTTATTAGCATTGTTCATCAAAGCAGAGATGTCTTCATCTTTATCTCACAGTATATTTCAGTTGCGGTGGTGAATTTATCCTCGAGAAAATAGATCTTGATCGTATTATTAGTTCTGCTTATTTCGACTGTCCAAATTGTTCATTATGTCTGGGAGTCAGTCGGGAATGAACTCGCATAAGGTCGTTGTTCTCGGAAGTAGTGGTGTTGGTAAAAGTTCATTTGTCAATGCTGTTTGCAACAGGTTATCGTTCCACGGAGTTTTTTGACACAGATAGATGACTTTCAGGGAGCATATTTAGTTTCTCGCTGTTATTTATTGCAGAAGTCTGAATCAAATAATTTTTGAATCAGATAAGGAAAATATGGATGAGAGGATGAGACTTTCCTCATTTTTTCGGTTCTTTTGACGAAACTTATACTTCATGTCTTTATTCAGAATACAAATAGAAGGCACAAGATGTGGGAAAGGAAAGAGAAGACAGTAGATATAGTTGTGTTACGCTTAATCTGTAAAAGGATACTTCAATTACTGTGCACCATTAATGATGCAGTATTTTCTTACAACAAAGAAGAGAAAAAGCATCTCTTGCTGCAAGACTTTTGCAAGAACATTTACGTGAAGAAAGTCTAGAAATAAGGGTAGGGATTAGAGAAGTTTAGTGAATATAATTTGACTTCTTTTATATTACATGCAGATTTTGGTAATTGTTAATATGCTATGAGCATGAATTTTATTTTGTATAAAAGATAAAACAACGCAGCAGTATTTGCTTTATTTTCAGACATGATATAATTCCTAGTAGTACAGTTGGTTGTGCTGTTTCCGTAATCGCTCACCAGTATCGTGCTGGAACTACTGACGAACAAACGGAACTCATTGAGCTTTGGGATATAGGCGGCTCCACAGTTCATCAAAAAGCATCTGTTAATTTTCTCGACGGTTCGTTGTTTGAAAATTTATATTCCTGTTAACTCAAAAATCATATTAAAATTTTATCTTCAAGGTTCTCAGTTCCTTCTTGTTTATACTTTTACTTCTGATTTAAAATTCTGCTGAACGGAATAAGTCGGAAGTGAGTTTATAATTTATTTTGCTTGCCTACTCTTCGAATTCCACTTGACAATTCTATAAGTTGTATTCATTTTGGCAAGAGAATAATATGCAAAAAAACAAATTATTTATCGATTCAGGAGCTACAGGTGTAATATTAGTACACGATCTGAGCAATAAGAAAAGTGAATCAAATCTTTCGCAATGGGTAGCATTACTTTGTGGTGAATCATCGTCATCTTCTTTTATTTCACCATTTACATCTTCATCCAGTTCACGGTTTTTGTTAAACGATATTGAAGGTATACCAATGCCAACATTAATTGTTGGCTGTAAATCTGATTTAGCACCTGAACGAGCTAAACAGGTTTGTTTTTAATATTGCTCACACATCGTAATGCAAAAACTTGCATGTTTGACCAAATTTTGAGATTTATAGTTTCTTCTGTTGTAGTCCACAGATCATTTAGATGAATTTTTGGAAAATTTTAGCCAATCTAAATTAATTTTTGTTTACAGACAGCATATGATAGAATTTCTTTAAATTGTCGACGTCCAATTTCACCTGGCTCTACGATCCGAATTATCTTATCGAAGTTTTTTGATTCAGTTGTTGAGCGAAAAAAAGTGCCTGTGGCAGGAGATAAGCGGCGCAAAATTATTATCACTTAAACCATGTTGTGTGGATTTTAACAAGCGTGTTATTTGTATATGGATTAATTATGACGATATTTCTATAAAAGAGTTTATACTTTTCCAGCAATGTTAAACATGAGATATGAGCGTTCATCGATAAAACATAACATTATAGAGACAAATTACATGAAGTTGAAGTTTGGTGGGGGTATGAATTTCGGTTTGAACTAATTTAATATGGTCTGATGAATTAGTGGTGCACATGAAATTAAGAACATCCACACTCAGTGCAACCAAATTTTATTTTTTGTTTTTTAAAAAGGGAACGGTATTTCCAATTATATCTTGCTCTTACCATTCATCAGAAGTCAGATATAAAAATTGGTCTTTTGTAATCACTCTCAACTATCCTGTCGCCTTTATGAAAACTACTGCAGAATCTGACCAATAATATTTTACTACAAAAAAAAGCCAATTCTAAATTAAATTTCAGAAGCTCAAATATTTACAGAAATAATGATATTCATAATGATCGGTACAGAGATCGAAGTATCGACTGATATGTCCTGCACATTTTACCGCTTCCTGTTTTTAAACCATTTGAAACGTAAGCAATGACTATCTTATTGTCGAAATCAATATTCAGTGCTTGGCAACCATATCCTGGATGCCCAAACAAGTAACTGTTCTACAAGATAGGATTGGTTCGGAGTATTAATATTAGTTAGTATTAAATTGAGCCTTTATTGGAGCTTACATTAATTATGGAAATTAATGAGTACTGAGAACTGTTAGAATATATGGTTTAACAAAAGCTCGAAGTTATCAATGGAATTGAAGGCTAGGGGAATTATTATATTTGTATAGTCCATAAATAAAATGTAAGAGGATTGTTACGGTAAGATGTTTCTTCTCAACTGCAACTTTCTTTTTGGCTATTTTACCAGTAATTGATGTGAAATGTATCTCATAGTATTTACGCTATGATAGTTCTTGCCTAAATATAGGTACTCTTTTTGCTTTAATGTTTTCATACATTAAAGAAATTACTTACCCTGTTGATGGGATGTTTTTCAAAGAAGAATCCTCGACCTTTGACGAATGGATAGAAGAAAACCTGTTCTAAATGCCAGTTAGTCATAGTTGGTTGGATAACTTGCGCAAGTGTTCGATTACTCAAAAGTGTTCCATCAATTGCCAATGAAAAAAGTTTTGCCAAATTATAAGCATCGCTAACACCTCCTGTTGCTACCATGTTTAATTCAATAATGTTTGGATCATTCAGTGCAACCGTATCCTAGAAATTTTAGATATTTTGAATAAAAAAAAAAAAATTACCAATGAGTAAGATATTTTCTAATGTCAAATTTGAAAGAGAGATGGAAACTTTTTAAAAATTAAATCTTCCATGATTTT